GCCCCCCCCCCCCCCCCACCTTTCAAATCAGAAGCCCTACTTTCATTTCAGAGTCGTCGTCCCCTTTCACATCAGTTTCCATTCCCCCCTTCACATTACAGTCCTACTACCACCAAATTTCGAGGCACCCCTGAGGAGGCCAGGAGGCACACCAGGGTGTCACAGCACACTGGTTGAGAAAGGCTGAACTAGGGTGAGCTGTTCTGTTTATTGGTCAAAGGGAAGTTTGTCAAGAATAGGGTCTCCTAACAACCAGCCTGTGAATTCCCCTAACAACTGTCTGCCTTTAAAGGAGAACTATGGGGTTAAGGCTTTTCCTCATAGTTCTCCTTAGGGTAACGGGAGGACACAAACTAGCGTCCTCCCGTCACCCTCAGCTCAGTATACCGCGAGCTGTAGCCAGTCAGGGGGGAATCCAGCCCCTCCCCTTCACGGCAGAGAGCTGTGGCAGGATCGAGAGGTGAGCAAACGCCGGTATGTTCTACTGAGCCGACCTGTGACAGTCTCATTGTCACAGGTCGGCTAGAACTATGAGGTGAGTGAAAAGTACTCACCTCATAGTTCTCCTTCAAAGGACCACTATCAACAAAAATAATTTGTATCCTGTTAAATTACATCATAGTAATAAGTTTTATGGGTTTTTTTTATTTCAAATGCCTCTATATTTTTAATCATATTTACTTGCTGACTAAGCTGTTCAGGAAAAGTGAGCGTTACAGGGGTTATAACTATAACACAGCCAACGGTATGAGCAGCGGAGGCAACACTGTAATAAAAAAGCACCAATGGCAATGGTCTAGTTCCTCCCAACCCTTGTCATTGCTTTTATTTAAATCTTGCCTTTTTTTAAGGCTATGCACTGGTGCATAATTATAACGCTAACAACCTAGAAACAGGACTGGATGCTGTGTCAACTTACTACTGGTGGTCCTGGGTCAAAGAACACAGCTACTGCTCTATAGAGCATGTTCTTAACCAGTGGTATATGTACCCCAGAGGAAATTCTGAAAGGTTCTTTTATTTAATATTTGTATGTATTTATTTAAAACTAAATTGTTACTGGGGTACTGGTAATAAATGTATATGTGTCAGGGGGAAGTTCATATAAGGTGAACCACACCAGGGGGTACTTGTTTAACTTAAAGCATATACTAAACCAATCACTAAATTCTCAAAAAAAACAAAAGCTATAACATTTTAAAGTGATTCCAAAAGTAATTGTTAGTCTTCTTTACACCAGCTTTTAAAATAAAATAATTCCTGTTATAGGGTGACAACCCTCTTTTCATGCTTCCCAACTGTTTTCCAGTGTTGCCAACCCATCACTTTCTCTCCCGGTGGTGGCTACAAGCTTCAATGCCAACTCTTACTGCACAGAAATGTTTTCACCATCAAGAAACCCACTGTAAGAAATGCCATGCAGAAGTTGATTGAGGAGTAAATGCATGAAGACATGAAGTAGCTGCAAAAATCAGAAGTGCTGATATTCAGCAATGGATAAAACCAAGATAAAAAAGCATTGTTTAAAAAAAAACAAAAAACAATTATTTAGGATACACAGTGCTATAGCAAACTAATATGTATTTAAGGTATGGCTATCATGTACTTTAATCATGGTTAGAAACACTGCTTCGCAGAACCCCTTCCTGAACTTACGTTACTTTGCGTCAATGCCAGTGGCAAGGCTTTGTCGGAAATATCCCCCGTGATTTCTGCGCAAGGGATTAGGTCAACAAAAGATTTTGAAGACACTACTGAGAAAACAACAACTCTTAGCAATCTTCGAAAAAAAATTAGTTTTCACATTTTCCAGCTTAACTGCTATTTAAGTTTTGCATATATTCTATCACTTGCACATTCTGGCTACCTTTACCAATTATACCAATAAACAGCTGTGCCCAGTTGTGCTAAAAGCCAATACCTCCTTCAAGTCCCACTTTGTAATGTTATTCCATTTGGCCTAATAGTCATTTCAGCCTTTTTCTCATAGTAGAGGCCAATAAAAAAACAATTACTTAATCTGTCAGAATGGGTTACAGTAGAGTCGTAATATAGCACGTGATTAATGAGGGCATTGCAGTCGGCGAATAGGCATACCTCTGTCTGAAGGATCGCAGCCCTCTGTTCTTTGGCAGTAAGAGATTCCTTAAGTACTTCAATGTGTTGCTTGCAGTCTGAATTCTGATTGCCAAGAGTTTCCAGCTTGGTTTGTAAGGCAAGAAGTTCAGATTCCTTCTTTGACAGTTCCAGCTTCAACTGGTCAATCTGTAGAATGATAATATTTTAAAATAATTAATTATGACCATTTTTCTAACAATTACAAACGGGAACATGTGTTGGCTTATTCAATAACATAGAGCAGTGCCGGAGTATAATTGGGGCAGCCTGTGCTGTAGTCCAGGATCTAGCTAAGGGGGCACTAACCTTTCACATTCAATATCAGCAGCAACAGCAATTAGCTCATCAGGCACATATAAGACACACATAATTCAGCTCTCTTTTCATTTACCCCTCCTTAATCATGTATTTGTTAATGCAAGTACCTGCATTTGAATTGGTATCAGACCTGCAATCCCTGCACAGCAGAGCTCAGCCTAGAGGAGAGAGAAGCATCACATGGAGCCAATCTGTTGTGCTGCAGGCAAGTGGCATGCTAATATAAAGGAAAAAAAATTAAATGATATAGGGCTTTCTGAGATGAGAAGTAAAACCACAATAGAATCAAACCAGTTTAAAATGGTTTACAAAATATTTTTACTGACATAGAATACTTTGTAAATCTTTTTAAAATAGTTTGATTTTATTGTGGTTTTTATTTTCATCTCAGAAAGCCCTATATAATTTTGTTTTGTATATTTATCTAGATAAGGGTGAGATGAGAATTTTGACGTTTTTGGGAGACGTAATGCTTATATCCTTGAGGTGAGCTCATCCCTCTTCTGCTTCTCCTTTCACTTTCAATTCACATACTGTAGGAGGAACAAGACCTGTAGGTACCACTGAACTGCAGCAAAGTAAAATCAGGACTCCTCCCCTGCCCTAATAGATATAATCCATAATAGAAGTCACCAGCACTCGATGATATGTGCAAAAAGTATAAGCACTTTTTATTGGATTGTCACATGCGTCATACAGCCAACGTTTCACACAGGGTCCCTTCTTCTGGGCGACATAGTGACCTCCTCCCCTGCCACACACGACCAGGTTTCAATCTCGGTGGTTAGAATCACAAATCTCCAGCAGGTAAAACAGCTCAGGATGTGCAGGTTCGGGTGTACGTGTAACCATGTGTAATCGCAGCACCAGTCCCTTCTGGGATCAGGTCATTTTACGGGCAGGCACGCTGTACGGACATGCACACCCATTGAATGAGCCCTTAAGAGACAAGAGGCGGTTGAAATGAGAGCTTTGTCTTATAACCTGAGAAAACTTGCTGAGAATATTTTAATTAATTAAATTTAAGAAGGAATTGGAAATATACATTAGAAAGTGAAGTAAGAATGTTTCTATAGAGTATTCCTGACCAATTTGTAAATATCCCGTCTCTAACCAACTCTCATAGGAACTTTGGTTTTCTGGTCAGTCACATCCCTATCTCATGAATTTTAATCAAAAAGAAACAACCAACATGAATTTACTACACACAACAGCTAGGCTTACTGTCTTGTGCTAGTCCAGAAGCATCACAAAGTAGAACCACTCTCCTTCAGACTGAAAGAGGTTTGTTGAGGTGTTTTGTGCATGGAAGTTCTGGAAGGCTTCCAAGGATATAGACTATAAAGTCAAAAGTTTGTGGACACCTGAAATTCCACCCTACACTATATGGCCAAGGGTATGAAGACACCCTGCCAAATCAATGTTATTGCTGCAGCATATGTTTTAGACATTTGTGTGCTTGCAGCCTTGTTGCAACAGTTTGGGAAGATCATTTTCTGTTCCAGCATCATAATGCCCATGGTTCAACAAGTTTGACCCTTCTGAACACCTTTGGGATAAAATGACAACTGTGAGCATGGTCTTTTTATCCATCGTCAGTACCCGATACACTCAGTGAACTGAGGGACTGTAGCTGTTTCATTCATTTACGCTGCCATTTGTCATAGCACGTGTTGTGTGTAAACAGACACGGCATTATGAATTTCACACAGGCCATGACCCACAGTGAGTACAGACAATTCTTTTAAGCTTATTTTTGCTTTCTATTTTTTATGGTTGAGATTTGCTGCATTTTGTGCTGCCCCGTTGCATTTGGCAATACACAGTAATGCACTATCAAGCGTTGTACTGCACTCATTTTTTAAAAAATGGTGCAGGTCCAATTTTTAGGTTCGTTTTGATGCGTTGGCAGCCCAATTAAATGAATGGGCTGCCTTGAAGCATTGCACTTTAACACAGGTTTAAATGTGTGCTTAAAGCCAGCCATGGGACTGTATATGTATAAATGAGCCCTAAAGATTTACTGCATGGGAGTGCATATTGGATTGAATTGTATCACAAGTCTATCCAATATGACAGTGATATTGCAAGAAGGAGAAAAAATAAGCTTTAATTTTTGTCATTGTATCTATTTAAATATAAATTACCTATTTAAATTTAAATATCTATTTATCTATTTAAATTACAGTAACTTGTATTTTTCAATTGACTATGCCATTTATTTTTAATATATTTTAAATACATATTTCGCATTCCAAAACTTTCTTTGTATGTGTATACATTTTCTTTTTAATGTTGGGGCATGCAAGATTTTGGAAGAATTTACCGGGCCCTGGTCTCAATAAAGTTGAGAACCATTGATCCAGAGAAAAGTTAGAGATGTCTTCTCTGTTAAATCTATCCTTGTATCTAAGCAGTCTGCAGATGCTTTTATTATCCCGCAAACAAGAAATCTGAACTAATATACTGTTAAGGCTTTTAGTAGAGATAAGTGGTGCCTCGGTTCATGAACTTAATTCGTTCTACGATTCTGGTCGCGAACTGAATCAAACTGTGATCAGGCCGCGATCTCGACCAGAGGAAGCCATGACCATGTGTCAGAGCAGGGAAGATGGCTGCGGTTGTGCGAACGTAAGCAAAATTTTGCCCAACTTCCTGTTCACGAACAGAAGCGTTCGTGAACTGAGGCACCACTGTATCTGGGAACCCCAGCTAAAAGGTTATGTTTGCAAACTTTCTTGATTTTCCTGATTACATTAAAAGATTTAAATTGTGCTAAAAATACACATATTCTTTCATAAACATACCCTTAGTAAGAAGCATGTCATATAAATGATATATAGAAATAAACAACCTTTAAAACCCGTAAAACCTACAGAACAGCCTATAAATAATTGTATTATCCGACTAAATCACTTGAAAAAAATACCTTGCTTTTCATAAACTTTGAATGACTTTTGTAAACTTCCATCTGTTTGATTTCCTCCTCCCGGTCTTCTGTGTTCAGGATACCATTTGTTTTTATGATTTGGATGTCATCTTCAAGGTCTCGAATGTTTCTTTCAAGAGATGCAATTTTGGTGTCCTATGCAAGGAAAAAAATATGCCACATACATAAAATATGGACCAGCAAGTAATTATGCAGTCCAGTAAAATTCCTTTAATTAGGATACGTGAAATGCTGTGAAAATTCCGATCCATGATGACAAAATCAATGGGATAATCTTGGAATGTGCTGTGATGTAGTCCCCATTTTTTTTGGACTGATATCTTGATAACTGGAACAATGCACAGGTTGAAATCCCTGCACACCTTTCAGATGCCACTGAAAACTAATAGGGAATGCTAGCTTACCACATTGTTTGTATTTGATTTTAGTCAGCTCGTGTAAAGCTCACACTAAGTTGCCCTTCTTTCAGTGATGTTTGGGTTCATTGAGATCCTTTATTGTCTTGACTGGTAGTATTTTTGCAAACAGTCTTTTCGCCAAGAATGACATCCCAATACTATTGCATTATCCTATTTTGAATTAAAGGAATTTTACTGTAGACAACAATACAATATATATAAAAGATATTACACAGGTTAGAAAGCAGTGTAAAAAGAAAGGTCAGCAAAAAAGTCAGTATATGAGTTATAGAGATCACAGAGTTCATGCCATGCTCAGAAATTAAGTAGTAATGTTAGGTGGTGCTGAGCAGAATGTGTACACAGAGTTCTTCTGCAAGTGATAAATTCAAGGGAAACTTCTATCTGATTAAATTTCCAAATTAAAGTTTCTGTTTTAAGCAAAAAAAAGTACATTTCATTTAAAAAACTGGAGCAGATGCATTTCATTATAAAAACATAAAAGGCTGCTTTGAAAGCATACACATTTTACATGTTCTACTAACGTTCCTATACATTGTGTGGTATAACATAATATATTGCTGGGCTTGGCAACTCTCTGTTCCTACGTATGGGGTTTAGACATCAGTAACATTAAGAAACACTGGTGAAGGTAATGATTAACAATAATTGTTTAATGATTAATAATAACTGTGCACAATCTCCACTAATTGTATTAACCAAAGCAACTCCATGTAACATATTAAAACCAATCTGAAAACTTTGGTGGCTACCCTACACTACAGCTATGCTAAAGTCACAAAGTCCACTCAATTTTCTTTAATCTGAGTTGTCTGAATTTTATTGCAGCAAGATCCCGGTCAACTCACCTTGTGGGCTGGAAGACCCTGTTTGTGATATCCAATTGAATGTGAACTTGTGCTTTTCCCGCACCATAGCTAACATCCTTTCTCTCCCCCACTGCTCCATTCATCCATTGGGAAGCAGGACAAGTAACCATATGTAAGCTCCAAGTCACTTCCTAGGACTATTTCCTCACCCCTATGTACTAGCAGTTGGCCAACCACCATTGCTGCCAAATGCTAGGAAGAGGAGTGAGTCACATACTCTACCATACATGGTATGAAAGTACCAGGTATGGAAGTACCAGGTATTTTCTTAATTGGAGGTTAAACATAGTGGCTGGGGAGCAAAACAAAGGTGAGTATATGAAGTTGGGGAAGGGGCATTTTACTTTTTCATGCATGGGCAAAACTTTAAAAGCAGTTTCCATCTCACTGGTGGCTATATGAAGCTATTTAGTACTTTGATAGATCAGGTGTCCTGTATTTGGAATGTAACAAGGAACCTACAGTGTATTTGTTTAGGAATATCAATACTGCATTACAAACCGTTTAGCTAAAGAGGCTCCCAGATCACCATAAAAAAGGACGGTTTTCTGGCCTAATGCTCTACAGATATCCCCAAGTGAATATCTGAAATTTTGAGCAATTTCAAGGCTTCAACTCCAAAACTGACTCAAGTATTTCTTTAACTATGATACTCTGCACAACCACAATACTCTACAGCAACATACCTGCCAACATTCCAAAATCAAAAACTGAAACAGAACACATTACGTTCTGCTCTGAAAAGCTACCCAGATCTGTCACCAAAAGACAGAACTGGTAGCAAGTTGCCATTCCTGTAGATACTGAAGCTTGGGAGAGTTTTGGGGAAAGTGAGAATATTTGGAAGTACCCGTGATTAAAAATAAAACAATGTTGTTGGTGTGAAATTCCTAATTCTAGGCAGATTAAACTACGAGATAAATATTAATTAGGCTATCATGGCCATGAAGGCAACTGTAGTACAAGACTTAAAGGAGAACTATGAGGTGAGTGCTTTTCACTCACCTCATAGTTCTAGCCGGCCTGTGACAATGAGACTGTCACAGGTCGGCTCTGTAGATCGGGAGGTGAGCGAACACATACCGGCGTTCGCTCACCTCTCGATCCTGTCACGGTTCTCTGCCGTGACAGGGGAGGGGCTGGATTCCCCCCTCCCCGCTCCGATCCGCCAGCGCTGACTGGCGGAACGGACGGGGGAGGGGGCGGGTACAGCTGTCTCTGCCTTTAGATAGGCAGAGCCAGCTGTCAGTCACACAGCTGGGCGGATCCCGGGACACAATTGTCGGGATCCGCTTCAGCTGCGGCGTCTCAGTATACCGCGAGCAGCTGCACGCGTTATACTGCGGTGTCTCAGTATACCGCGAGCTACAGCTCGTGGTATACTGAGCCTAGGGTGACGGGAGGACGCTAGTTTGTTACCCTAAGGAGAACTATGGGGAAAAGACTTAACCCCATAGTTCTCCTTTAATTAACTAAACATTAGAGTGCATGTAAACCCCAACTATTTTTTTTCCTTCCTTTTAAATATACATTATAGCATATATAATCTGTATAGCATTAAAGGATTTTTGGTATATTTGTTCAAAAAACACCTATTGATCATGCCAGAAAATAAGAGCTGTCCTGTGCCCTGTGCACACTTCCTGTGTTATCTCAAAGAGTTCTTCCAATTCTTATCTAGCTATACAGAACAATTACAACGTCTTTGGAGTGAGGAAATGTCACGTAACGAAAATTCTCCCTAACCCTTCTCCACAAACAAAGACCTTTGGCTGGATCAGGTGAAAATATGGACATTTAGGAAAGGAGGATATTAATTCAATGTTCAGAGTATGACAGTTTTTGCCATATCATTAAATATTTCTTAAAGAGAATGGGGTATAGTATAAAAACATCTGTCCTGGAAATGAAATAGGCATGTGCACACAATAAAAGTTAAATCTAAAGACAGAACGTTTTTACATTTTGGTTAGTAGAGAGGGGTTTTACATTTCTGTGTCCACCATAGGGAGTTTCACCCTCACTATACACTGAGTGGCCAGATTATTATGACCACCCCATCAGTACTTCCTTGGGCCACCTTTTGCCTTCAATACTGCGGCGATTCTTCTTGGCATTGACTCCATGAGATGTTGAAAGGTGATGCGAGGAATCTGACACCATGCCTGATGAATAGCACTGTCCAGTTCTGTGAGATTTGATGGTTGTGGAACCAGCTGCCTGATGGCTCTTTCAACTTCGTCCCACAAATGCTCAATTGGATTGAGATCTGGTGATTGTGGGGGCCACCTAAGCAAGGTAAATTCTTCCTCATGTTCTTGAAACCACTCCCGCACAATACGAGCACCATGGCATGGCGCATTGTCTTGTTGGAAGAAGCCATCTCCATTGGGATACGCCATCAACACGATAGGATGAACTTGATCAGCAACGATACTTTGGTATGTTGTGCTATTCAGACGTTGTTCCACATGAATTAAAGGGCCCAAATTATGCCAGGAAAACATGCCCCAAACCATAACACTGCCCCCACCAGCTTGAAGGGTTGTACTCGTGCATGTGGGGTGCATGCTTTCATGCGGTTTACGCCAAATTCTCACTCTGGAAACATGATTCATTACTTTTTTCCAATGCTTGACTGTCCAATCCTTTTGTTCATGTGCGCATTGGAGACGTTTTATCTTGTTAACTGCAGACAGCAAAGGGGTTCGAACAGGCCTTTGGCTTCCATATCCCATACAATGCAGAGTACGGCGAACAGTGCGTTCAGAGATCATTTGAGAGGATCCCTGATTAAGATCTGCAGTAATTTGATGCACTGTTGCCCTTTTGTTGTCTTGTACCAGCCTTGCCACTCTCTGTTCTGCCCTAACATTGACTAGTGGCTGACGGCCACAATTCGCACGTTCCGACCCAGATTTTCGGCTCACAGTCCAGTCTTTAAACACTTTAACAACAGCTGCTCTTGAACATTTAACGAATTCTGCTGTTTCGCTGATACTCGCTCCATGGCTCAGAGCGCCAAAAATCATACCACGTTCAAAGGCTGTTAAATCACGTTGTTTACCCCCACTGTCGTGGTAAACAACCTGCTTCCCTATTTATAATGGTCTGGCCCTCTCGCAACTTCAGCGCGAAATTATAGCTAATTTGCCTACAAACGTCAGGTGGTCATAATAATCTGGCCACTCAGTGTATGTACTGGTGGCCGTTATCACCCAGACTGAAAATGAGGGAAAATCCAAAAAGTTTTCACCATAACAGCCACAGAAGGAAAAGTTCCAATGAGGCCACTTGTCCCAGTCACTTCTGTATAAATCTGTATCTTTCTCACTCTTGAGAAATTTCCTATCACTTCTTGCAAAGTCTACCTGACACTAATAAGGGGAAATCTCCCCAATGAGACACAGACGGGAAACAAAAAGTATAGCAAGTCTTTAAACCATCCAAAATTAGACAACATTTTGTCTTTGGATGTAAGTGGGACCTCTCAGCATGAAACGCCTCAACCAATCTGAAGCAAACCACAAATAGCCAAGGGAAGTCTGTACTTATTAAAAAATTTACCTAAGCAAAAATAATAAAATATATGCATGATTGTGTGAAGTAATCATATTGGATGATTACTTCACACAATCATCACTGGATGATAATGAGCTGTTGGGAAATCCACCACTACGTTATCTTTTCTCTACACTCTGGCTGCAGTGCCACGCTGCAAACTCAAAGCAGCCAGAGAATATAAAAGTTATTAGCTCGCATCTGTTCATAAGACCTAACCTTGCCAATACTATTTTAATACTTGCAATACTATTTTAATTAAAATACAATTAATAAAAAAATCTAG